ACAGTACAGTACATGAAAAGTATTCAGAATACATTTAGAATACATATTGATAAGGCACATGGGAAAAATCTGTGCAGTTGTAGTTTTTTGACTTGTTCATGTCTGTTACAACCGGTTTTCTTCATATACTTCTGTTGATATGTTTCAGGAAAAATTCCTTATCGTTTAAACTAAGTTGAACATTTTATTCTTACTGCCTTCTTTAGTCGACTACTCCTCTTACAATCTTCTGAGCAGGGCTGCTGCCTGTGTCACCAAGAAAACGTTCTGCCACATCCCAATAACAAAATCTTCAAAGTGGATAACTATATGATTTGTCATGTGCCAGGAAACTCACAGACCAGTCCAGTACAACACTGATGCTGAGCTTATCAATCAGGAACATTACTACTCAGAAGATTATCAGCCCAATCATCCCTCAAAAGAGCTCAGTAACACAGATAAAAAAACAACTGGCTCGTCACACTGATTTATCAGTCTACTCAGGCTTTAGCAGGAACTTCAGTATTTGTAAAGAAGTTGTTTGTTAAGTTTCTCTTTAGAGTCAGCATTTCATGTCAAACTACTCTGAATGACCTTGTTTATATCTTAACGATTTTATTGTGCAGACAATTTAAAATATTTTTTACAATTCAAAACCACCAGTGAACATTATGTCTTATAAGTTTTTATGTTTCGTGTTGATGAGGACAAAATGTGAAAATAAGTCTTCAGGGACTATTTTGCCTTACAACGCCTTCCTCCATTATATATTTAAAAATATAGGCTTTAACCCAAAACGTTATCCCAAAACTATCATAAAACAATGTCTCATGCATCAGGCAACATATTCTCAGCATTCAATTCTCAGATGTCTAGTTCCTATTGACTCTGAACTTCTCTGGAATGGAGTACACCACACCACTCGGAATATCTTCGTTTACATCTTAATCTTGCAAACTAGGTGGAATTCCCCTTAAAAATTAACATTCATATTGTTTTCTGTTTTACTACAGTGGGTAAATAGTCTCCTAAAGTGACTGTAGACAGACTTTTCAAAATGTAATTTAAATTTGCAGATCATTTCTGGATTCTGAATATGTGGTTTGCATACCATCCTTGACTATATGACATATTAATAGCTTTAATAAACTGAGAGAAAATTACAGACAAAATTCAGGCTGGATGGCTGCTACCACTGCTTTTAGATATGTAATGTATTTTTATAGATAAACATATCATACAGTGTCAGAAACCACATAAGCAAGTCTTAACTTCAAATAGTTTGAGGCAGTTGTGTAGTGCAGTTTGAGTTTGCATGATGCTGACTGGGAATACACTTTCTTTACTTGTTAGCTTCATTAGCCTCAGAGCTCCAGCGCAAAACCGAAGGAGCGAACTTCAGGCAACAAATATGTCTTGGCCGATCAACTATATTTGAAGTAAAGGATAATTTTGTTTATTTGATTTTTTTTTGCTGTACCATTCTTTTAAAAGGAGAACTGTATTATTTTCAATGACTTCTTTTAGTCTCGTTTAGTCCTAGGCAGTGCTCTTTACCCCCCTCATTAGCTAATTTATTAAAATTCACCCTGCTTTTGAGCAATTCATCCATACAGCAACTCAGTATGACTGAAAAAGCACTAGCCCCAGTCTGACATGCCACAATTAGCTGTTCTGCTGCAGTAGAATGGCCTCATATATCCACACGCACTGAAATAAAGCAGTGGAGAACGGAGGGAGGGGTGCAAACCAAACAGAGGTGCTGGAGGGAGTCTATAAGGAAGGGACGGAGGGAGAGGGAGATTAAAATTTGTCTGAATGAAGCCCACGCTTGGCCCATTCATTCGGCTTCGGACATAAATCAGGCCTTTGTTTGCTCCTCTGTAAAGTAGTGTCAATCAGCCTGATTGTTTTTGTAGGAGCAGGGACGTTATTATGAATTTACTCTTTCACAGATTAAAGGGACCCCCTGCTCCAAGTGCTGCAAATAGGCAATAGAGGCTGAAGTTAGCCATCGCTGTGCCACTTGCACATTGGAGCGACATCAAAGTGCCTGAAACAACCAATCAGATTTGTCTCGGAAGGCACTACATGATGAATATGGTGTGGCCCTTTCGCACAAAAGTGCTTTTGTGTCACTTACGGCAAGGGCCATTCACCATCAGAGCTGAGCCCGTCTGATTGGACGATGACAACAAGGCCTAGCCGTGCATCCGAACTTTGCAGGCACAATAGCAAATGCAAATGATTACATATAGAACTCCAGCCTTTGGTGGAGCAATATCCATGTGGTTTGTATGTGTATACATTGAGTGGTCCAGCTTATTAGAGCTGTGCTAAAAAGTTCATTGTTACTATCTGGGTTACTTTCATTAAACTAAGCTACCAATGAACACATCACAATCAAAATAAGACATATATACATGATCCAAAGGGTGAAAAAGGTGGACAGGCTCTACACAAGAAACCCTGGCAAAGCCCACTTGGACACCGTCCAGAACAGTTTGTCATCATCACTCTTCCACTGGCTTCTTCTCACTGTCTGCATTGGCCTTTGCAGACAAATTGGTCACACTATAAAGGTATTCATGTGTTATAAATTGCTTTGAACTTCAACCTTTTGTTGCGGCTTAAATATTAACTGGCCGGCCACTGTATCCCAAGGTTGTCCAGGTTCATCCCTTTATCGGGTGTCACTTTCCCCTGTGGTAATAAATAGGCGCCATCAATTAAACCCTGTTGACACAATTCAGAGTTACTGCTTTTGAGATGTCAGGCAACGTGAGACCAAGACAAATGATTTTAACAAATGATCTCTGAAAATGATTTGGAGAGTAGATAAATTTACCCCCAGGGCATGCAGCTTTATTTCAGAGGAGCTTTCAGCTAATGCAGTGGCACAGTGAAAGCTTGGTTGATTTATTGATTTATTGAAAAACTGTCTGACATAACGCTTTAGATGCCTTGAAACTGAAGTATGTCAGTGGCTTTTGGAGAACCCAACAGTATTTCCAATTCCATTCAGAAAGTTTTGCATCCAAATAGGGTGAGAACTGTAGATTATTGATACACTTTCAGAAATAAAGGTAGTAAACTGTCACTGGGGCAGTTCCCCTCTTGTCACTGGGGTGATACCCTCAAGGGTACATCTCAGTACCTTTAGTCAGGGAACATAATTGTCCTAAAATCCATTGAAATTATATTTTCCAAGTTGTACTGACTCCACTCACTCCGTCTCGTCTCCAGGCTTTTTATTTTATTGTTCTGTTTTCAAACATTAGAATATGAAAAGGTACAAATATGTACTTTTCACCTGGAAAAACTTGTTTAAGGTTCACAACTTGACCTTAAAACCACTGTTGTACCTCTTGAGGGAACATTTACAGTGTTTGTACCTTGATAAACACAAAATGTACCTGCACAGTACCTTTTTTTTTCTAACAGTCTGTAAGTGCCTAATGGGGGTGCTGAGGGGGCCTAGGCCACCCCACTTAAAAACCCAGCCTTACCAAATCTCTGATAGTTAAATATGAAAATATATCAAAACGTATGACGGATTTACACAGCTGCATGCTGCTGTCGGTCGTGTGAAAAGGCATTATTTTTTGTAAAACCAACATGTAAACACAGCATTAGCCTGCTCTCACTGATGGTGTGCGGTGTGCTGCTGTGCTGTTCCTATAGGCTACATGCCTAGTTAGCAGGTAGTAGTACTTGACCATGGGGATGGTCCCATACTAAAGTGATGAGACCCTTGCAATCTTCACCCATTTGCCCCAGGCATCTACTCCCAGTGCTGTTTAAGAGAAGGCTCTGGCTAATATCCACTGTGGTATTCCATCAGTTGTTACGTTAGCCAGCTGAAGGTAAAGTAAATAATCACGTATTTAGTACTTAAAAATGTCTTTAGCTCTGATGAAGCGGGCTAGCTGCTGGTTGTTATCCTTACTATAGCAATGCCTTAATGATTGCTAGCTGGGCCCCCCTAACTATAAGCTAGGACCCCCCTAAGAAATTCAGGCTATGCCACTTCATTGATATGCTATGTCTTAATATGCCATGGCTTTTTTTAGCCATCTCCATGCTCCACCTTCCTAGCCAGTGCAATGCCAATCAGATTCCTATATTTCACAAGCTTCATATTCAATGATAGCATGACCACCACAAAGTTTCTGAATAAATAAAACTGTCTTTATTTTACATAAAATAAGCAATCTCTTTATAAAACAATTAGATTATACACAAGTTGGCATAAAAAAGACACAAGTGCGCACTTTGATATAAAAGCCATTCATCCCATACAAAAAGGTCACTGTTTATCTAAGGTGTGTGTCAGTGGTTTTCCAGCTCCAGTCCTGCAGCTGCACGGTGTTATGGTTTCCCCTTTATAAGCTAATGATCAAGTCCTTCTGGAGCTGAATCAGAGAAGAAAACACCAAACTAGACAGTGCAGATGACCACTGGGGTTCACTTCACAGTTTGGCTGTTGTGAGTTCTTGGCTTCAGTGTGCTTTTGGAGCGTTTTCCTTCACGTGCACACAACTTTAATCAGTGGATACGACCTGTTTTTTCTCTAGACGTGGCTACAGCACAACAGCTCAACATCTCCTTCTTGGTTGTGTGTTGAGGCAAAACATCAGTTCTCTCAGTCAGCAGTCCATGCACTCGGATGACCAACAGAAATGCCCTCGGAGGAAGTTCATTCGCCAGTTCAGCGGCGTTTTAAACTTCAGAAACTCAGATAATGCGCTCAGATGGAACAGACTTGGCTCTGTGCGCTTTTTTGGATCGAGCGCACTGGCTGGTGCCAGTCACGAAGCTGAAGTCAGCTTCTTATTCGAATTCTCCTGTTCCACTTTAAATGGTGCAGCCAGAATGTAACTGCTGCACCATTTAAGGTGGAACGGGAATAGGAAGCCAACTTCAGCCTCGTCTTCCAGTCCTTTTTTGCAGCACCTGGATCAGAAAGAGTTCGCAGGGATAACGGCGCACGCTTTAACTCGCCGTTACCCGCTACCTCAGTACCCGTCGAACCACGTGCTGAAGTCCAGCAGCTCGTGCTCCTCGGAGCTCAGCGGCTCGTAGCTCTCGTAGTATCCGCCGCACTCGTCCGACGAGGAGCACGCGGAGCGCGGTGACTCGGCGCCCGCAGAGCTCGCGTTGGAAGCGGCCGGAGAGGGGACGGCGCGCGCCGCCGCGTCATGCTCGTTCACGAGCCTCTGGAGCGCGCGGATGTACTCGACGGCCGAGCGCAGCGTCTCCACTTTGCTCATCTTCTTGCTGGCCGCGCCGCTCGGCACGTGCTGGCGCAGCGTCTGGAAGCCCAGGTTCACCTGCTTCACGCGGTTGCGCTCGCGCTCATTGCGCCGGGCCACCGCCACGGGCGTCTGGAGGGGTGACACGGAGACGAAGCGCAGCCTGCGCGTGCACCGGAGACGCTCTGGACTGCTGCTGCTGCTGCTGCTGCTGAGCGCTCTGGACCTGCTCTCCACCGGCGAGAGCTGCACGCGCCCCGGGCAGGGACTCATACGCACTGGCGCGAGGACAGTGGCGTCCATCTCCATGAAATGCATCAGACTTAGCTTCACGAGGCGAGAAGAAATACCGCAGCGATGTCTTGCGCGAGGCGGAGACAGCACAGTCGTGGTGATGGCGCACGGCGCTCGTGCCTTTCGCGTGTCTCGAGCAATAGGACCGTGTCGGTTGCTGGTGGCTGGTGGCGCCTGTTCAACTAGCGACTTTGGAATGACGGGTGGCACGCGGTGCCTTTTCAACACGCGCACGCCACCGACTCCCCCCTCCCCTTCATCCCCTCCCCTCCATACACGCACACCTTCGGAGCTGCACGCTCCCGGAGAACGCCCCGCCTCTAGACCTACCCCCTACCCCACGCGCCACGCGCCCGAGCAGGACGCACATTAACATTTGGGCGCGTGGACACATTTCTCGAAACCTCAGCGAGACAGAAAGCCTTAGAAAGGAAAGTCTGCACGCGCAGAAAAAGAGTCTGAATGGGGAAAAAAGCTGAATGTGAACTGACAGGTTGATGGATTTCAGCGATTCGGTATAGATCAGTAACAGCAGCAGCTCCTCCAGCCTTACAGGCCGTTTAGGCAGATCAGTTAAACTGAATCCACATGTAACCTCAACACAAGCTGACAAACCAACACAAGATTCATGTCAAATGTACAAATCAAGAGCAGTCAAAGAACCTTAAGAGCGGAGACTGCTTTGAGTCTGAATGTACACTTTCAGAAATAAAGGTAGTAAACTGTCACTGGGGCAGTTCCCCTCTTGTCACTGGGGTGTACCCTCAAGGGTACATCTCAGTACCTTTAGTCAGGGAACATAACTGTACCATAGTCCACTGAAATGATATTTTCTAAGTTGTATTGACTCCACACACCCCGTCTCGTCTCCAGACTTTTTACTTTATTGTTCTGTTTTAAAACATTAGATTATGAAAAGGTACAAATCTGTACTTTTCACCTGGAAAAACGTAGTAAAGGTTCACACCTGGACCTCAAAACCACTGCTGTATCTTTTAGAGTCCATTTACATTGTTTATACCTTGACAAAGAGAAATGTACCTGCACAGAACCTTTATTTCTAACAGTGTAGGGGAGACTTTTACATTAGCACCATGAATCCTGTTCTGTTTTCTACCAGATTCTCTATGACATGTAGGGGAGAGTGGAGTACAATCTAATGTGTTTTGGCGTTGGCTAAAAAAAGTATTTGAGCAAGATTGATCATATTTTCATTCAAGCAACCTACACATCTCTGCTACAGATGAAAATGCAAACTTTGTTTCCCGCACCTACCGTTTATTAACAATTCAGGCAAAAATGTGAGTGCAACCTTACAACTCACCCCATGGTGAGGTTAAAGGGGAATTCAAAATTTTCCAAATTTTTGCACTTAAACAAAGCCATTCAGAGTGGTTTGGTGAGATGCACCATTTATTAACTCACCAAGTTAGAATCGTTCACATTATTAGTGATCAGAACCAGACATACGAAGTGCTGACTGCCTCTAAAAGCTACAGAACACAAAATCATTTCATGACATGGTAAGAAATACACTGCCTGGTGCCTGAGATGCTGTTTTAGGATAGTTTGAGAAGGTTTTGGGCTAATTTTTAAACACATTCAGGGTGGAGTGGCATGTGAAGGGTGTTCTAAATAGTCCCTGAAGAAAACACTTTTGTCCATATTTACCACAGTTTGACCATAATCAACATTGGATATTAAAAAACTCCAAATAAAATTTGTGTTGTGGCTGGTTGGTTCCAATCACCAACACTGTAAAGGAATCTGATTTCACATCAAAACACTCTGAATGACTTTGTCTGTGTTTAAAAGATTGAACTAGAAATCTCACTGGAATTTCCCTTTAATGGTAACAGATGCAAAGGACAGTTGTAACAGTTATATTATATGGTACATCAATGTAAAACACAACTGATCCAATACATTTTAAGCTTTTACAGACAAGCTTTCCAACCTAAATACATACAAATATATTTATCAAAATAAGTATGAAAAGTGAAAAGAGGCTGTGTCAGATGTGACAAATTTTACCATAAATATCAGCACAATAAAACTGAAATATATCACTGTTGTTGGAAGAAAACCTCGTATCTCCAAAATGGTAACTTTACAGGAGAAGGAAAAAAACTACTTTACTTTTAATGTAAGTCAATGGAACCAGACATTTTCCCAAGTCATTTTGGGTCATTTCTTTTGGTCCATTCTTCATGAAATTTACACACAATGTAAAGACCAACAGGCATTTTCAAATTAGGGCAAAAACTGAAAAACGACAAAAAAGGAGATACAAGGTTTTGTTGTTTACATGACGTGTGCAAGAATGGCCTGGGTTCCATTCCCGGCCGGGTGACCAGGGTCGTTTCTGTGTGGAGTTTGCATGTTCTCCCCGTGCTTGCGTGGGTTTCCTCCGGGTACTCCGGTTTCCTCCCACGGTCCAAAAACATGCAGTTAAGCTAATTGGACATGCTAAAATTGCCCCTAGGTGTGAGTGTGTGTGTGAATGTGTATGTCTGTCTGTCTGCCCTGTGATGGACCGGCGACCTGTCCAGGGTGTATCCTGCCTTCCGCCCAATGACAGCTGGGATAGGCTTCAGCACCCCACCGCGACCCAGAAGGATAAGCGGTTTAGATGATGTATGTATGTATGTATGTATGATTCGTGGAATGTTCTTAATGAATCTGTGCAGAAAGGCTGGGCATCTCTCACTGTTTACTGTGGGAAGCTTATTAGAGCCTGGTGTTAAACTAACCCTGCCGTGTGGAGGCTGTACTTTAGCCTGGCTAGCTCACACTGTGAGCTATTTACATGCAATGGTGCTATGTTACAAACACCAGCAGTGATTACAGTAATATAGGCGTGCATTCTGTGACTTTCTGTCATATGCTATATGTCAAAAGTTTGGGCACCCTTGTTCAAATGACGTTTTGTTGATTTTCTTAGTGAAAACAAGTTAACACAGAGGACAAACTTAAATGTGCAATGTTCTGCAAATTTTAGTGCACAACTTATTTGAGTTTAATATATTTGAAAAAATATAAAATGTGCCACAATGTTTTCACTTAAGAAATCAACAAAAAACTCAAACTTTTGCACATGACTGTATACATACAGCTCAATAACTGAAAAACACTAATAGTGGAAAGAGCTATTTCATGGTATAAGAAGAGTCTTCAGGGTGAATGTTGTGAAATATCTGTCCAACGTTTGTGTCAACATTTGCAGATGATGTTGCTATTAGAACACAAAAGTGACTATAAGCATGTTTTGCTTAAAACAACCATGTTACATTTTACCGTGAGTTAGTTTGTGCCTGCTCTCTCCTACAGACTGACGTCTATGTTTGGCCAAGGCTATTTCAGTGAATCAATGAATGTATAGGCTATAGGAAATATGATTTATAGGATAAATGAATACACAAATATGTAATTGAATATGTAATTGGACCACCACTGACTCTATTTGGGTGGTGGACTGATCTCAGCCCAGCCGTGACAATAGCGGAGTACCCGTGTGATGCTGGTACTACTGTGTAGTGGTGTCAAGGTAGCAATGTATTAGTCCACCAACCAGAAATACTCAGCCAGCTGTGGTCCTGTAGTCTGAAACTGCCCACTAATAAAGGGCTAGAGCTGAAGTGTCCTATCCTGGTACTAGTTATCTGCCTCCCTGCAGGGCTTAGCTCCTCCACCCCTAATCTAACACACCTGATTTAGGTAATGAAGGTCCTCAAGAACATCTGAATATTACAGTCAGGTGTGATGGATCTGATCTCTCCATGGTGGCAGATTTCCAGGACCAGGATTGGGCAGCGCTGTGCTAGAAGATGCCTGACACAAATTGTGCATGGAAAAAGGTGAAAAAGTCTCTAATAAAGTACAGCCATACACAAAAGTTTGGGCAAATTGTTTTCCTGATTTTCTAAGCAAAAATAAGTTCATCCTTGAAAACATTTGATCAAATTACACAGTGAATCCTCTACAAGGAACTTAAATATGTCATTTCTCAGCAAATTTATAGGGCACAATGTCTATTTTTTTTGTCAGGTTTAATGTACTGAAAAATAACCCTATAAAATATAAAATATGTCATACAGGCCACATTTTGTTTTTCCCAGTATGTTAAATCTAGCAAAAAAACAGTAATTGTGCATTGAACTGTGCAGAAGTGTGTTCTCTGTAGAGGATGAGTAACTTATTTTCACTAAGAAAATCAACAGATCATGCCATCTGGCCAGGAGTGCCCAAACATTTGCATGGAACTGTAGATGTGTCTACTAAAGTGGCCAGTAAACATAGGTAGTGTTTACAAATCTGAGCAATGCTCCTATGCAGCTACAAATGGGCTATAGTTAGTAACTGTAAACATAACAAGTGTACCTGTGTATAGGTGTTTTTGATAAAATTGCCAGTGAGTGTAGGGACAAGGTACACAGGGTAGCTGAGTGGGAATATTGAGGACACACTGACACAAGCAAAGGAAGGAAATGTATTATGTCTCTCTCTCTCTCTCTCTCTCTCTCTCTATATATATATATATATAAATATAAGGTCTATAGAACCATGAACACTCAGACTTTGCATGATAGAGTGTGATATGAGGGTTCTCCATATGAGAACGCTGTAGAGGGGTTCTATATAGAACCTTTTTGAAAAGGGTTCTGCTGTTGTTACAGTATCAAGCTTGTTACAACCCTTTAATCATGCAAAGGGTTCTTTGAGTGTTCATGGTTCCATATACAACCATTTTCTTTATTAAAGAACCCTTGAAGAACCATCTTTTTTTAAAGTGTGTGTGTGTGTGTGTGTGTGTGTGTGTGTGTGTGTGTTTAGTGAACAAATATAGGTAGAAACATTAACACCAAAGGAACACTTCAGTAAGACTCCTCTCTTTCTTTATGGTTGCACTGCCTTAGCAAAGAGTGCCCTCTAGTGATGGTGGAGATATTTTCTTGTTAAATGCTGTAGTGACATTCAGTTTTCAAGTTCTAATCTCAAACCAAAGAACACCTAAACAGATCACATTTTTCTACTTGATGAATTAAACTATATGGATAAAATCACAACAGATTTGCCTACAACAGTCTATTTCATAGTAGTTTCGCTCTGTGTCTTAACAGTAAATGTGTACATAACAGTAAATGAATTAACTACTATCTATAAAAGTGCTTCTTCAACAGTGCAGCATGTGTGGCTTGCTTGGAAGCAGATGTGAATTCAGTCTTTCACACCCACAGAGCTGCTGGAGGAAGAAAAAAGGTAGAAATGAATCAAGTTTTTGTAAAAATCTATATTTTATTATTATATTATTATTATTATTATTATTATTATTATTATACCTCACTGGAAACAGCAGTTCAGTCCTGCGTGTGTGTCCTTTTCGACAAGTCAGCTTTGCTTCTGAAACCCTGTTAAAACAAAACAGACTTCAATCTCATCAACTCAAGAAGGATACCTTCAAATATGTTCACACATAAGAGAATATGAAGTTGGTTATGCTGGTGCACTAAAAATGTAATAAAAGAGAAACAAAATGATATACAGTACATTCAAACCCCGCATTCCGGTTCAGCATTGTTTATTATCAAGTAATCGACAAGTTACTGTACTGAAGCATAACTTACATGTTAAATTTTTCAGATCCTGAAGAATCGAGCCAGTCTTGCCAGTCCCCCCACTCAAAGTACTCTGAACATCCACGTTCTTTACATGGGCTGTGCACAAACTGACACAGTCCTCTCCACTGCTGAGTGAGCTGAGCCAGACGCATCATTATCACCTTTATTATGTCCCACACCTTCTGAATGTCCAAAGAGTTTTGCACTAAAGTAGACACCAGAAATAAAAATGCAGATGCGTTGATCTAAAGGTGGTGATTAAACTGCATCGATTTTGGAATGAAAGAATGCAAAGTATAATAGATTAAGATTGTATACAATGAGTAAAAGTATCCGCCAAAACTTGTCACTTTTTCACACTTTTTCAGTATTTTTAAAAGTGAAAACAGCCATGTATGCACCACAAGCCACATTTGACTACTGTGTGCATATATATATATATATATGTATATGTGTGTGAGTGTGTGTGAGTGTGTGTGTGTGTGTGTTCAGTGTAATCTGAATCATACTAAAACAATCATTCAATCAAATCGTGGTGATATTTGAGATTTTATGATGCACTGACCGTTACCAATATACAGTCATGTGCAAAAAGTTTGAACCTGGACAATGTTTTATTAATTTTCTAAGGTTAACACAGTTATATATGACCTTTTTCAGCAAATTGAAAATCTTAATTTTACAAACAAAAAACGTAAAATGTGCCATAACTTTTGCACAGTCCACATTTTGTTATTTTATTTTTTAATTTTTTCCTCGTTATGTTAAATTCAGCAAATAAACAGTCATTTTGCAAGATCATGTCGTCTTACCATCACTGTCCTTGCCTCGCATCTCAATAAACTGATCCCCATCGTTAACATGCTCTCTGAGCAGAACCCGCCTGTTGCCGCAGGAGAACAGACATTGATCTTTCCCAATCCAGTAGGGGGAGAAAATGGAGCATATCTTTATGACAAGCCTGTTAAAAATAAATAATAGCACAAAGGGTGGGTTTACACATCACCTAAACACATGGGGTATTTCACTCAGTTGTCAGTTGTGAACTGGTGAATATATCTCTGGTATCAATAGGGGTTTGTTGGCTGTTATGAACAAGCATGCAGATGCTAAAGGTCTTCTGACTGAATATTAGCATTTGAAAGAACAGAATAAGTGCTGCTTGCCTACTAAAAGGACCATGGCATACGCTGTCAAAAGCATATAGCCTAACAATAAACAAAAGTAGATCGATTGTCCAGACACAGATTAAGCCCAGTTCTACATAGTCTAATGGGGCCAAGAATGCATATCTGGGGACAACCTGTCATACTTCTGGCACTAACAATCCACAGCTAACAATAGCATGCCCTTTTTAAAACCCAACCCCAAATTCCTCTAACTTGTGCTCTTTTAACAGAATACACAAGATAACACAAGTGAAACAAGCTAGCTAGCAAAACGCTACAGTTAGTTCACGTCCATTCTTCAAACTGAATGTTTCAGGAACACTTTTCAGCTTAGTTTTGCCAAAAATCAAAAATCGATTCCATAAAACACCTTCAATACTTTGTTTAAAGACAGTAACTCAGGTGTCTATCTTCTAAAGATAAGTATAGTCTGGTGTACTGCAACTGTTTTTTCTTTGCCAGAGGTAATGTTTATTTTACCATACATGATGTGTTCTTTGAATATGCGACACATTTCTACAAGCTTAACTGGAGGTTTTTGGGGGGACTTTTCAGTCACGTTAGATAAGAGGTAGACCAACATTGTGCATGCCTATTCAAGCAAAAGGGACAAAAAGTGGTACAGTCCTTGTCTAAGGCCCAATCTCATTCCACCCCTCGCCCCTACCACTTTGCCCTGATTTTTGTTGAGATGGAGGGGTAGGGCAAAGAGTTAGGGCTACACAGCCCTCCAAACAGAGGCGCACTCCAAACAGAGTGTTAGGAGGAAAAAAAGCAAGATGACAAGATGGCTGCACAAGTGACCAAAGAAACCCACAAACGAGAGAATTTTCTCCATTAAAAATTTACAATAACCATTGTATTATCTTAGTTTAACGTTGTTTCAATGTATTATGGTCCTTTTCTTCATAACAAGCATAAGAAATTACTAGTAGTATGCTGATGTCTCAGTAGTTAACTAGCTAAATTTCCCGTTCCACCTTAAAAGACGCAGCAGTTACATTCTGGCACCTCAAGCCTCAGAACTGCTGCACCATTTAAGGTGGAACAGGAAAATTTGAATGAGAAGCTGCGAATTACAGACTTCAGCTTCATATCACTGAAGAATTAGGGGTGGGTGATAATAAATAATTGTCTTATAGCCCCTCTTTGAAGGCATATGATTCTCTAAATGTAACTAAAGACCAGCAGTGAGGTTGCTGAACATTACACTCCTCTGCTATCACTACAGACTGGCAGGGTCGCCTACAGAGCAGCGCTAGTAGCCTGTTAATGAAGTGATGTTCTTTTTTATTTGAGGGTCCCATTTCATAGGGGGAGATTTCAACCACTACAAATTTAACTTAGTTCCAAGGGGGAAGGTGACACTCGAAAACAAGGGGTAGGGGTAAAAATAAGAAATGGGATGCAGCCTAAGTCTTGCTTCATCCATTTTCACTCATTTTTCATGGTTGTCTCCAGACATTTTCTACATAAGACCCCACGAGACTACATAATATACCAAGAAGGAGTGGTATTCTATACTAAAAAGGACGATACACTTGGTCCATGTTTCATTTCACGTTTCCGAGTACATTATTCAATATTCTTATGAAATTTTGAGCCAAACTTGAATAAAGAAAAGTGATGACTATAATCAAGCAGGTGCACAACTTAGTAATGACACTAGAGCTGGGAGGCAGGAACGCTGGAGTGAGTTGCTGATTGGTGCTAATTGTTTGCAAACTATTGAAACAATGCTATTGTATTAAATGAATAATTTGTCCATTCTCCATGATGCACATCATCACAGTTTTGTGAATTCATAACATCTTCACACTTTAAGTCATTAGTCAGCAGGTATAAGATTTAGTCCAGTAAGTAATACGACTGAAATTGTTACCTGTGGAAGAAGCCATGAGGTATCTCAGGTAGGAAGTAAACTTGAACATTGATGTCTTCCATATTGTCCTCTCCCCACATCTCTCTGACCTGCTTATTGCTGGTCAGGAAGCTGGGGAACAGGCAGGCTTTATCTGGTTCATACACAGAGGGATTTGATGGCGCCCATTTTTTGTTCGGACAAAACTCCTGGGCTGTAGCGTTTAGTTTAAAACTTGGTTTGGTCGGCAGGCAAACCTCAAAGTGCTGTAGCAGAGTGAGAAGGTTCCCAGACTTCTTCTTGGTCCCAACTATGTCCTCAATCAGGTCCATGTCATCAATGCCTGATTTCTTAAGTTCTTCACGTACCAGGATCTGTATGGCCACATTGCTCAGAGTTGCCCTCTCCTCAAAGTCACGAATCCACCTGTTCCTGTGCAGCTGCAGTGCATTCTCCGACTTCAGAACTGTATTGGAAATGGCTCCCAGCGCGCTGACCATGTCATGTCTTACAATGGCCTGCAGCAGAATGAAACATGAATAGTCTTGGAAAAGGATCTGCATGTATCTGAAAAGTGTCAGATGTTTAAAGCTTTTTCTAACAAACCTTGAACAATGAGATGAGGAAGGATGGTTTCACGAACACCATGTCCTTCAAGTCTACGATTTCCATGTACCACATAATGATCCCAATTCTGTGCAGATACTGAAGAATAAACCTCATCTTATCGTGGTCCAATTCCTTGTGCCTGTCATTTAGGTAATATAGGAGGTCCTCTTGAGTCACTATTCCTATTAAAAGGAACATGATTTTAGAAATGAAATGGTGGCGTTCCAGTTTTCAGTTATTAAATTAAAGTACATTTAACTAGGGAAAGGGACTTACCATGTTGAGGAATGACATCATCATCTAAAAGGCCTTGAATAGCAGTTTCTACTTCCTGGTAGCACTGAGGCAGTGTCTGCTCCATGAAAGGAAATGTGTCTTTATCTGAAATCAAATCCTTGATGTGGCCTTGCAACCACGCAATGTCCTCATACTTAGTGCAGTCAAGGGGTATAAGATCAAGGACCTGAATATAAAGAAGGAACATGTTTATCAGACAGGGCTAATGCAAAACTCGCAATAGTGCAGGTTACGAGTTGGGAATCTCTGGGCACCTGACACCTTGGTTTTAATTCAGGTTTTCCCCTTTGTTTCTCATTAACAAGTTCTAGCTTAGCTAAATTTGTATGTACTGCACTTTGTGCACCTGTTAAGTACCTGTTTCACCATGCCCTTGCCATCTCTATTTAACACCTTTATATCTGCATACATAAATAACACTAAAACAGATGTCAAAACATAAAATAAAACAGGGGATAGTTCAGTCATTTTAAAGCTTTTTAAAGTTTTGTCATATAATAGTAAACACATGTATACAGTCATATGCAACATTTGAACACCCCAGGTCAAAATGCAGTGAAAATAAGTTTAAATGTCTACTTATTTGCGTAAAATATAGAATTTTATTAAATATAAAATATAAAACATTTGCACAAGCCACATTTAACATTAAATTTAGCAAAATAAATACATAAATAAAACAGTACTTAAATTGAAATACAGCTGATTGAGCACTGAAATGTGCAGGAGTGTGTCTCTGTAAAGGATGTGTTAAATTATTTTCACTTAAAAAAAAAAAAAATCTACAAAACGTAATTTCACCAGGGTTGCCCAAACTTTTACATTCAACTGTTTATGGCAGTGTTTAAGTCAGAACCGTCTACTTTATAAGGAGTCTTTTATATCCAAATAACATCATTACACTATTTGCTTCCTTTTGTTAGTTATGAGGTTTGCAATTGCATTGCAATTGCATAACACTGCTTTACCTTGACTTACTCCTGATTTGCTATTCTAGCCTAAATGCAGGCATTTCAAGATTTTAGTAGACCTTCAGGTAACATTTTTTCTTTGGATGTCACAGTTTTACAGTTAATCCTTCAGTAAATACTTAAATGTAAAGCTTAACCTTGCTGAAAAAAATCATGGACACGATTAAAAGTTTCTGTTGGCTCCTGGTGGTGTCCAGTAGTCATTAATGGTGTTTTCTGTTTTCTTGACAGGTAGATATTACAGTGTAATGGATTCTAATGGTTAATCAGGGGACTGATTCCAGATGTATTTGAATGTTTCTTAATGGGATCTAAAGGTGTCCTACAGGAAACTAGTGGTCTCTTAGGGTAACCATTAATCCAATTCCCGTTAGAAAGCAAAACCATCAGGTTTAATCTTAACAGTTCAAAAGGTGCAGAGAACTCTACATATTACTGGATTAGCCTGTTAGCCAGTTAGATATTTGCTGAACTGGCTATTTACTACAGTTTTGGGCCTCTTATTTCATATACATAAAAATGTGACCATTAGTGAGGTCATTTTTATGAGCATTTTTAAGAGGGAATCACCATACCTATTAATTTCCCCAACCTTCATGACTGCCCGGGAACACTCACCTTCAGTTTGTACTCTGTGAGTCGCTCAATGTCACTCATTTGTTCAGAAAACAGTGAGAGGTCATCTAATTCCTCAAGGTTCTTTCTTTGCTGCTCTAAGCTCTCTTTTCGTTCTGACAGCATCTGCTTCACTTTCTCCTCAATGTCGTTCTTCTTTCCTAACACCTCCATTGCATCCTTGCACTGGTCAGTGTGAGTGCCCACTAACAGGACCACTGAGTTTGGAACCTTGAGCTGGATGTTGTTGATCCAGAAGCCCACTTTCTCACTGAAAGACTTGGGATCCTCAGTGTCGTAGCTGTATAATTAAAACTAGTTGTTAATGATAATTCACATAGAAGTGGAGATATCCATCATCAAAAACTTTGCATAGCATCAACTGTTTAAATACCTGGAAAGATCAATAGCAAGGATAACAAAAGCCTGAGGTGTTATGAAGACGTGATGGGTGATGTAGTACACTTCTTGCCCTGCAAAGTCCCAAAAGAGGAATCGGACTCCATCCCGATCAACTTCACGGATTTCTATACCTATAGTACGGTCAGCTTCGGCCACTTCCACAGGATAACCACGCATCAGACTGCGACACAGAGTGGACTTGCCTGCCATGGAGGATCCCAGGAACATTGTTTTAATGGTGCAGACACTGCAGGAACTGTCTTCTAACATAACAAAATAGTTTTGAATGTCCTTCAAACCCCCCGCACAGATATCCTCAGGAGGCATTCTGAGCGGGTTGCCGTTGGCCTTGAATACAGCCAAAGCCTGGGACTGACAAAGGGCACGCGGGAGCTCTGCCAACTGGTTCTTCTCCACATAGAGCTCTTTTAGTCGAAGTAGACCCACCAGAGGCTGCAGATCCTTCAGGCTGTTGTTGGACAGGTTCAGGTATGTGAGGCTCTGACATTTGTTCATGTCTGATGGTAGCCTGAGAAGCCGGTTTGTGCTCATCTTAAGGAACTGGAGCTTCTCCAGCGAAGGGAATATATCTTCAGGTATGTTCTTGATGTTGTTCTGATTCATGTACAGTTTCGCCAAGCGTCGTAGCTGCCTGATCTCCAGAGGAAACTCGATGAGCTCATTCCTGGACAGATTGAGCTCTGTCAGGTTTGACAAGCGAGAGATGCCAGTAACCTGTCTGAGCCTGTTCCTCTGCAGGTCAACCTTGACAGCATCCTGACCTTTCGTGAGCAGAGCTGGAGGAAGAGATCTGAGTTTCTGCCCTGCAAAATCTTCCTCTTTTTTTCCACGATGATAGCCTGAGGTTACATATTAACAGAGAAAACATCAGGTTATCTTTGATTTCCTAGGGCAGGGGTCCACAACCCTGATGTTAGGAAGAGCCATTTTGTTTTTTTAACAAAATCAAACCACTTTGGGAGCCACAATAGTTTATGTCCATTTTACCATCTTGGCTGTAAACATGTCTCAGTATGTGCTAATGTACTAGTATAGGTTAAAAAATATAAAGAAAGCTGGCGAATGAGAAGCGACTTCAGCCTCGTAAAACTTGAATGTTGACAGACATTTTACAAGAAACTATTGTAGTTTTGTTTCTAGCTGTAGATGTGAGAAAAGCAGATAATGTTTGTGCTAAACCTTAAAGCAGAGCAAAGTCTGCGTTTTTGTTAGTATTATATATATATATTTTTAGCCTATACTAGCACATTAGCACATACTGAGACACATTTACAGCCAAGATTGTAAAACGGATATAAAATGTTGTGGCTCCCAAAGTGGTTAGATTTTTGTTGAAAGAACAAAATGTCTCTTCTTAACACTTGTGCTGCCGACCCCTGAGCTAGAGTGACATCTGCATTCAGATCTGTGAGAAAGACCTGGTAGAAAGTGGACATTCAGTGATTGTGATGCTCATACATTAGGACAATATGTAAGAGTAACTGTTCGTCAGGTGACTGAGAATGTCAGTGCAAGACGTGGTCAGACAGTCAACATGAACAGACCGTCCACAACTACACAGAGGGGGATATTTTAGTAGAGCAGCAGTGCGTAAAGCCACCATTACAAAGACAAATGCATATTTGAGAGTTCAGTGGTGTAAAGACCACAGACACTGCTCTACAGAGATGAGAACAGTGATATGGTCAGACGAGTCACTAAATTCTCCACAAGTGGGCAAGAGCATGTGTGGCGTACACCAAGAGAGCAATACAGGCCTGAATGCTTGACCCCTACACTGAGCGAGCCCAGTGGTTCTCTTCTGCTGTGGGAGGCAGTTTGCTGCCATGGTTTGGGTCCTCTTGCCTCCTTAGAGGGAACAAATCAATACAAAGCTATTCTGACTGATTATGATGGGGCATCTTTATCCTGATGAGAGCATTCTCTTTCTGGACGACAATGCCCAAATGCACAGGTCACTGAATGGTTTGATAAGTATGAAAATGATGTAAATCATATGTTTTAGTTTTCGCAGTCACCAAATCTCAACCCAACTGAACACTTATTTTGGACCAGTGTTAGACAGTAATCTCCACCACTATCATCAAAACATCAATTGTGGTATTATCAATTAATCAGGATGGGTGATCAAGAGTTGTGCCCCTCAACTTACATTTGTGTTTACTAAACTGTTTTAAGAACGTGTTGTGCCACATTTATGGAAATCGTCCACGATTATTCCTATACCAAAAAAGTCTGGAGCCTTACTTCCAAATGATCAGCATTTTGAGTAAATGCATGGAAAAGGACGTCATAGGCCACTGGTAAGCACCCAGATTCTTTTCAGTTTGCCTACAGGCATGGACAGAGCACTGATGATTTACTGTAGTTAATTCACTCTGCAGAAGGCAAGAATGTGAATGGATGGCTTATTTTATGGATTAAGGATTTTCTTTCATTTTGGCCTCAAGAGTGTCTGTAAATGGTAGTCATGGGCTGGAGGTTAGGGAACCAGCCTTGTGACCGGAAGGTCGCCGGTTCGATCCCCTGAGCCAACAGTACGTGACTGAAGTGCCCTTGAGCAAGGCACCTAACTGCAGATAGGGCTGCCTACTGCTCCAGGCAAATGTGCTCAATGCTGCCTAGTGTGTGTTCACTATTTGTATGTGGTGTTTCACTGCATGGATGGGTTAAATGTGGAGGTGAAATTTCCCTGTTGTGGGACTAATAAGTGTCACTTAACTTAACTGAATGGTGTTATGTCCAAGCAACTTCTTTTAAGTACAGGGGCACCTCAGGGGTGTGTCCTATCAACAGTCCTGTTCACCATCTTTTGTAGTGAGATGCAAATTCATGACTTCTCCTTTTGCCTTTGTAAGTATGTGGATGACACGGCCCTGGTTGGTTTATTTCAAGAATGGGATACTTGTAAGGAGGCTGCGTACTTTAATCAGATTGATAAATGAATCAGTTGGTGTTTAGATAGTCCTGTGATGGACTGGTGACCTGTCCAGGGTGTTTCTTGCCTTCCGCCCAATGAGCGCTGTCGTGAGCCAGAAGGATAAGCGGTTTAGATAATGTGTGTGTGTGTGTGTGTGTGTTCAGATAGTGCTCTTATTATAAATGACACTAAAACTAAAGAGATGGTAATCAGCATTACTAATGTCCCAATTTGCACAAATAAGGTGAAGATTGATAATCAGGCAGTTAAAATGGTGCAGAATTTTACATATTTGTGCATGCTATTTGACAGTAGATTGATGTTTACAGCCAACTCTGATCATATCTTTAAAAGGCCATGCAATGCATGAATCTGTTGAGGAAACTTAACAGTTTCTTTGTGAGCTTTGTGAGGAGAGATATTTTAGAGCTGGTCTACAGGAGTCTGGTTGACAGTGTTTGGACATATAGTATACATACTTGGTATGGTATCCTTGGGGCTAAGGATAAGACCAAGCTGTTGAGCCTTTGTGAATATGGCTGGGAAATCATGTGTAAACCACAAAAACAGTTACGTGAGATATATTTGTCTAGTAGTAGGAAGAAAGCCCAGCAAATTGTGAGGAATCTGACTCGTCCTCTGTTTGACAAATTCAATTTGCTCCTTTTTCAAAAGCATTATAGCGTACCTATATTTTTTAAGCATTCATTTATCCCCTATGGAATTTCTCTAATGAACTCTTTAGTCACTTCTTGATTTGATGAAAACGTAGCTAATTTTAGCTGCACTGTATTTATTCTGATAGCTGGTGTATCTGAAGCTGGTATGTGTTCTTAGGTGTGTTTTTGTGTGTCATGTTTTGTATTTGTTTGTATAATTTTCTGTTATTTATCTGTTTATTATTCTTATTTTCTGCAATCTGGAGAAACCAAACCCAATTTCCAGAAATGGACAATGAAGTTTATTCTATTCTAGTCTAGTCTGTCTTTTGTAAGAATGGTGTTCTATCACTCTAGTACAGTTCCAGAAATCTGCAGAATCTATACCAAGGAGTTTGAAGCTGTCTGGTTGCTCATGATGGGACACCATAACAGGATACTTCATGTGGGTTTTGCCTTTAATTCGTCACCTGTCTGTGTCACTAACCAACTGATTGAATTTATGTGATGACTAAAATACATACAACAAGCACGGCTGCCAAAACAAAACATCCACATTAAAATCACTGGAGTTTCACATACAGAAAAGCCCTAAAGCTTCTTTCCATCCTACTGAATGAGGATGGACTGTAGATGACAAAAGATGGTAAATCCCAGGTATTTTGCCTCTGAATAAGCAAAATCTCCAGGAATTCTATAAAATCGTACACTTAAAGATATGCAAAAGGTACTTACCATTTGAAGTGAGCATACTGATGAGTAGCCGGTATGGAGGCTTTCGGTAACTCTTCCCTTTCTTCTTAATATCAGTCACTTCCTCCTTATTTCTCAGGGGGAGGGGCCGCTGAGAGTATGCACCAATGGCAGAATCTCTTAACCCTATAATGTATTTCACCAGTTTCAATATTTGCTCTCTCTTGATTAGTATTATTCACTTTGAATTTAATATTATCATATAATTTGCATATAATCTTATAATATTTAGTATCTTATTTCTATTATTATTATTTCTGACCTTATTTCTTTACCCTCTTCTTTTTTGAGTCATCATAGAATGTTTTCCAGTTTCTGGCACATGACCCCTAACTTATACTAATCCTTTAAACAAGATAAGAAGAATTGTAGCCATAACAGATATGAAGAAATGCTGCCAGCACACAGCTTATGTAAAGCATTTGTTTTCATTTGTACTTTATTTCGTTTCACTTTTATTTTTCTGCAAATCTTCACAGAATCTGTTTCGGTTTCTGTCACATGACCCACCACTGTTAATGGCTTTATGCAAGTTAAATGCTGCCATCATGTGGCCATTATGAGCAGCTGCATGAAACATCTTGGCCAAACAATCCATTAAAATTTGGACACATTACAAACCCTGACATGTTTTCAGACAGGACATGGAAAATGAAAAAGGAATGTCTTTATCTATCTGTGTTGTGTCTTCTTTTCCTCTTATAAGTGACTGGCTTGTCTGATTTTTCAGTCTTTAATATAAGGTTGTCTGTCCTGGCATCTTCTCCATCAGCGGGACAGGTCAGTTTTAAAAGGTATCTGGGCACATGCTGTAAAACAAAGCAATAAAGATATTAATAAACAGTGAAATTGTTAACAATTTATCACGTCATCACATACATATACAGCCAAAACACCTATACCCTTAATATAGGTGTCAGAGGGGTTCTTCGCATAATGCTACAAAAGAACCACTTTTAGTTACCCAAAAAAGTTTCAGTGGACGGTTCTTTAGAGAACCATTTTTGTAAATGAGATGTTGGATGTTGGAAAGAGTAACTTTTTAGAAGAAGGAAAAACATGTTCATCATGTAATGTTTTACACACAGTGTAAAAGGCAGCTGGTGTTTGGAATCACTAGCCATATTTACAATTTTAGCTATTTTATATGTGATAATAACTTCTACAGTGTTGATTAAATAACACAAATGAGTTGCCAAATGTATTTTTTGGTGTTTTATTCACTATTTCAAAATTTTGTGGACAACAAATTAATAAAAAGACAAACAATACACTATGATTATCTACATAAATGATTCTTCTGTGAAGTTTTCTGCCTTCTCTTTTGAAATATGATAAATTATGGATGCGAACATTATTATAACTTAATCTCAATGAAAGTTTTAACAATTTATCATTTCATCATGTATGTGCCAATGTTATACAGCTTTCTGAGTCATTCTTGAATCTTCCACAGCTCTGTTCATCATCATGGATACATTTAACATTCTTTCTTTCCACAGCTTTGTAGTGTAGTACTAATTGTGTGAATCATGTCAAGTTGCACAGGTCAAGCACTCTCGAATCATTTTATACATTTACCTACAACCAACTAAAAAACACTGATTCCAAACTTTTCACTCACAATTCCAAAGTTTTGAGTGCTAATTTAAACATATCATATGGATATTATAATGAAGAGAATGTAACCTGAACTTGCTGAGACAGACTGGCGGGCCTTCTGCTGCTCTGCTGCCGGACCCTCGCACTTCTCCGAGCACAGACAGTGGGCTGTCTTATAGTGGGCGGTCTGAGGCGACTGGATGTTGGGGCAACTTCAGCCAACAGATCCATTATTTCAGCCTCATCTATCTCACTCTCTTCTCTAGACAGACCACCATTTGCCAGACTGCTTTCAGTAGTACATTCCTGGCAGAACCAATCCTCAAACGGCACTGCGCTCAAAGGTGGGCTAAGGCAGCCTATATGGTACCTGCCAAAATCAAAACACACCGGTCAGAGGCTATATAATAATAACACATTTAATACTCTGAGCAGGTGTGGACGTTATGGCACAAATGAAATACTGTAATTTTAAAAACAAATCTAATATACAGTACTGTGCAAAAGTCAGAAAGCAGCCTTTATATATTTAATTTCCAGTCAAAACTACGATTAAGTACTAAGTGTTAAGTTCATGCTGCATTGCTTTTGTCTCACCTCGAGTCACAGGCAGAGCAGAGCAGCATCAGGTGCCTTCGGTCACTCCTGCCACACTCTTCACATACACTCAGTTCATCAGCAGCTTCATCATTGTCTAACGCTCGTCTCTGAGGGGGCTCTACTTTAACCTTAAAACAGACATAGTACAGGGTTATTGCTAAAATATTCTGACCATGATTAAAGCATATTTTCTACATAAAAGAGAAAGAAGGTCAAAAATCACAGAATTCTTTAAAAAAAAATCTGCCTTACTATTTTTTGAATACTGCCTCCTACACAGGTCCTCTGGTAAAGGATATTAAATTCTAGTCGATCCACAGGACAGGAATTTGTTGTCTAAAAAGAAAAAAATGATGATAAACCCTTGTCCACACAAATACAAACATGCATTAGGACAGGTTTGATAAAAACATAAAGTCATATGCAAGTTTGAAAGCTCACAGAAAATTTTTCTACAATTTTTACTGCACAACTTCTATTTATTTGCTGAGTTTTACATATTGAAAAAAATAACGTAAAAGGTGGCATAAGTTTTGCACAAGACACATTTCTCAATATGTTAAATTCAGCAAATTAACAGTAATTGTCCTTTAAAATGTGCATTTGGTCTCTGTAGAGAACTTCAATCAAAAATCAATCAATAAAACATTACTTGACCAGGGGCGCACAAACTTCTGCAGACGACTGTACAGTGCTTTGCATAACGCCATGCAAATTCCACTCACCTTTGCCCATTCAGTAATGCAACTAAGGCAGTAGAGGTGCTCACACTGCTGTGGAGTGGCCACTGGCTGACCGCTGAATTTATTAAGGCAAATAAGGCATCTCACAGCATCAGGCACGTCCCTGTCTGGACTCAGACCCTTCAGTAGTGGAACCTCCATCTACAGCATCAAGTCTGAGGAAAGCAACAAAATAAAAATACATCCTATGACTGTTATGAATCAGAGCATTTCTCTGAATCACTACAATCTCCATATGGGCCACTGAGGGAGTGCTGACCACTGAAATCTTATGCTGTGATATTGCTTTTTTAAAAAAAATGGACAAACATATCTAATAGCAATACAGCAGGGATTTCCACAGGTTTACCGTAAACCAGTAATACAGGAATATTATATAAGGTATAAAATATTATACATTTTTATAAGTATTATACAGCAATATAGATATCATTTTAGTTTCGTTAAGTAGGGTAACTTAGGGGAGGAGACCCTACCAGGGATGTTTCTCTTATTTTCTCTCCTGGTCAAATGATGGGGCCAAGTCTGATCTCAACCAGTTTAGTGAATGTCAATATTCTGATTAATTTAGATATAGATGACCGTATTCCTGGGATAGATTCCCCACTTAGATAGCAGTGATCTATGCATTTACATTAAACTGTACATGAACAGCCGTTAGATTAAAACATTTCTTGAGAGAGAAGTACATTTGGTTTTGAGAGTTACATTTGTTTTTTTTTTTCTTTGAAAATGTAAAATTGCCTCTTTGGGGTAAAAATTCCCCATAGATGGGGGGAATGTACCACTTAATACTGCCCCAGATTTTGTTAGATTTTCATCATTTCAGCGACATAAAGTTGCTCACTGAAGTTTCACTGGCTAGCTAGCATTAAAATTAGATGGTAACTACTGTGGTCATTAGTTAGAAAGAGGCAGAATTTTTAGCAATTTTTTGAGATGAGTCACAGTTAGTTTATATTTAATAGAGAAAACTCTCTGTTTTACTGTCCTTTGTCTTTATAACTTATTAAATTGAACACAACTTATCACAGGCATCATTTTTTAGAAGAGAAAGGGGCTTCTTACTCCACGCAGATCTTGCCCCAACAGCATGTCAAAATTCCCCTTTTTAAAAGACTTTTATTGTTTTCCGTGCTATAAACACAAAATTGATCGTTCTTCCAGTTTATTTCTTCTAACACGCTCCATTGTCCTGTAAATGCTGAACTCATGCACAAATATGGTTTAGTTTTACAGTTAATGTTCTTCAGGGTGGTATTTCCAGTCGGCCTATATCTGTACCATCATATCTCTTTAGTAAGGCTGTACATTCTAGAGATGTCAGCAGGCCAATGACAGTGTTGCATATTATATTAAAGTCAAGCCAGAAAGAGACACACATAGAGCACAGTATGGACAAAAAATATAATAATATTTTATCATTATTGTGATCAATTATGTCACAATACACTTTTCTGAGCATATCGTGGATATCATCAGTACTTAAAGAACGCTGATTAACTGCATGTTTCATTACAAAGTGAGCATATAAGGCTGTTTAACTGGATTTAGTGCAGTGCAGTTTGTAAAACACTGAATAAAAATCATTGCAGTTGAAAATGTATTATTATTATTATTATTATTATTATTATTATTATTATCACAGTATTTTTATATGTGGCACTATATGTTCTGTTTCGTCTGTTCCAACTCATTAAATCTTAGAAAACTAAAACATCGTGAGGTGATTCATATCGTGCATCGTGAAAATGTCTTGAAGTATCGTGGTTATAATATTTGTGCTATATCGTCCACCCCTCTAATACAGAAAGCACCACGTTTATCGTACTTACGGTGGTCATGTAGACAGGATGAACTGGGTAAACTGGGTTAAGGCAGGGGCAGTGACAGCTCTACTAGTCCAGTTGTAAACGAGAACTTCACTGTGCACTGATTCTGTGTTGCCTAACAAAGCTGAAGTTTCCGTTCCACCTTAAATGGCATAGCAGTTCTCACTATAACGCCTCAGGCGCCACAATGTAACTGCTGTACCTGCGGCACCATTTAAGGTGGAACGGAAATTAGAACAAGAAGCGGACTTCAGCCTCGCTGTTGTGTAATACTTTTTGCAAGGCAAATCAGAGAAGCTTCAGGAGACTGCAGGACTTACAATGACAAAATATAGCACACATTACCACAGTAACATTACCTGTAGAAGAACAAATGAAAAAAACGAGGGTTGATAAACATACAGAACTTCTTCTTGGCTTTTATGGCAGATTGATTAAACGCCGGTTATCGTTCTGCTGCCACCTAGAGGGCGGAGTTTATGTGTCACTCACACGGGTGACCTGCCTGCTTTACATGAGGAGCCTAAACTAGGAAAATTCCAGCAATGAAATTCAAAACATTATGTATGTATGTGTGTATGTGTGTGTGTATGTATGTCACAATGGCATAACTATAGTCTACATATTGACAGAAATTTGGGTGGGAGTTAATGCAGATCCAAGGATTCACAGACTTCTGATGCAATTGAGCAGATGGGCTGTTCCAGAGCCATATAGCCATGGCTCTACATGGCTCTGACCTGGTGTAACTTAAAGCTTAAAGCGAGATTCTGCTCTAAAACTAGCATTTAATATGTTATTAATATATTATTAATCATTTAATATATAATCCATCCATCATCTAAACCGCTTATCCTTCTGGGCCGCGGTATAATGAATTATATATCACGTTAATCACATAATATTCTGCAATGCAGCATTGCATCCCCCAGCCTTGTTGTTTTTAAAGAATTCACAATTTTTTATCTTTATTGTGCTTTCATCCATCAGTTTTTCCCTCCAAAACCCCAGCATGCATTACACAAAACCAACCTATTTCTGCATCAGCCGCATAGCAGGGGAAAAAAATCTCTAATTTTTAAAATATTCATCAAACCTTCAAGGTACATAATCAGAAGGGGGTTTTCCTTGTATTTGTACCATTTGTATCAGAAAATCTCACTCAATAAACTGTTATGGCACCACAGTAAGAGGAAAGTAAGCACATTTACAACAGATGTAGCAAAGGTTTAATTTTCATTTTGGCCAGAGTGACCTTTAAGTAAGATGTACTGATGATGGATGATGTGTACAGTAAGAAGTAATGTTTACGTTCCCTACTGTGACTCAGAAAAGGTCACAGCCAGCTCAGTGCCACCCTTCATAAACAAGTAAACCTCCCAGTGCTTGTGATCATTACAGGCCCACTGCTCACGTAGCAGCAGCTATATTTACAAGTATTCAAACAAACTGGTGTGACCACTTTCTCACTTGCATCTCTGCCTGAGTCACCTATGTCCTCTGTTAGTTTCCCTACCGGAGTGCAAAGACAATTTTACCCAAAAGGTTATTCGAGTGAAGGTTTTTATAGCATTTTTATAGCCAGTGTCACAACGGCAAATATCATAACATGGTGAAGAAAAAGTCAATTAAACCCTTAAAGATACACTCTGAGACATTATATAGCAACTGTTTAATAATGCACATATATATATTTAGAAATCATGGAAGAAACTACAAGGTTTTACAAAATACATTCAACAGTTATCTTAATCTATTTTATAATTACAAAGAGAGCACAGTATTTACATACAAGTATTTAAGCTTACACAACATTTTCACAATCTGATTTTGTAGAATAGTAAAGGACAAAATTAGGACAAAATTATGTAGACTTGATATAAAGTGAACAGTGAACAGATCCTCAGGCTTGCAATCCCAGCTTTATCGCCATGACACCTCTCTGGATGACAAGACTGCAAGACACAAAAACGGATTGAGCTTTCCTGTGCGAAGGAGGATGATTATGACCATTAATGTTTCAGCTCTCTTAAAGATTAAAGACTTCTACTAAGTGATTGTGCTAGAAATCAACAGTGGAAAACACAAAAATCAGTGCATTGTCCCTTAGTTAGTGCAGCCTTGAGAGGTTTTTTTTAAACTTGTTTTTTGCAGATACTATACTGTTCCTATACTATTCAATGACTGTCTAAGGCTGAGTGGCCACTTTATCAGAAACACTTACACTCTTAAAGGTGCCAGAAAGTGTTCTTTGCGCAATCCCATAGAAGAACCTTTCAATGGATGGTTCTTCAGGGAATCATTTTGTAAGTGTGATGCGTGAGTATATCTCTTTGTTAAACCACCTTAAAGTTTAATATGAAATATTCTACAAAGAATTCTCACATTGGTAAAAAAAAAAAACTCTCAGGGTTCTTTAGGGTATGAAGTGTTCTATGATATCAATCAAAGAACCATTTGCGTTGGTATCACCTTTATTTTTAAGATAAAATGGCCACTGAGTGTAAGTACAAGGTAGGTGTTTCCAATAAACTGGCCAGTCAGTAGTCAGACCAGATAGACAGCGCACCATAGAGGCGCACTTTGTTAGTCTGCAGTTAGTGACTGTAGACCATCTGTTGCTGCACAATTTATTAGCCCACCAGTACCCTGTCCACCGATATAAATGGACCACCATAGGATCGTCATTGACCAGTTTGGATGGTGGACCATTCTCAGCACAGCAGTGACACTGACATGGCTTGTTGCTGGTTTTTTTTTAACACGCTTCAGTGTTACTACAGGGTTGAGTGGTCAAACAAAAATATCCAGCCAACAGTGGCCCTGACCAGATACTGATCACTGATGAAGGGCCAGAGGATGACTAACACAAACTGTGCATGGAAAAAGATGAACAAGGTGAGGTTTGGCCAGTAAGTGTATGTCTGGTTTCATATGTATATGGATTAAGCCTAGTCTAGGACTAAACTGTAAACATCAATGGTGATTTCCAGTGACACTTTATTTTGAGTGGTCCTTTTAGATAAAACAAACACTCAGCAGACTCTCAGTGACATGTCAAAAACATATAAGGGTTAGGATAAGATTTTGGGTTGAGGTTGAGGTTAGGGTTAGGATTAGGGCCAGGGTTAGGGTTAGGTTTTGGGTAAGGTTGGGTAAGGTTAGGTTTTGTGTAATGGAAGTAACATAATAACAATACATCTACTTAATGTTAGTAACGTATCAACAGAACATCTACAAGATATTTACTTTAGTGTATTCAGATGCTTCACTACAGCTACTTCACTGATATGCTGTTGATGTGTTACTGATTATCTGTTAAGAATTTATTTTAATCATCTACAAAGGACCCACTCCAAATAAAGTGTTACCTGATTTCCTAGTACAAATCCATTTTAGTCCACAGTTGGCTTAATCTGGGTCCAAAAATCCAGCCCTATGTGTTCTTTGCAGTCAGATTAGTTTTACCTTAACAAAATACACTCCAAACAAAAGAGAGCGAACAGAACTGAAGAGCCGAAAGAGAGAAGAAGAGCCGAGGAGCCAAGAAAAGCACAGTGAGGAAGAGTGCGGAGTCGGGGAGGCAGGAAGAGGAAGGCTTGGACAGGCAGTAGAAGCAGGCAGATAGGGGCACCAGGGCTGCCCGATAGCGGCTGATTTCACACATACACACCCTCAGGATGGAGACTGGAGACCAGTGGGTTTTGTAGACTGCGAGGGTTCCCCAGGATCTGCTTGGCAGTGGTGCGGGGGTTAAATTCCAACACTGAGAGATTTGAGTCTGTGACAGTTCAAAAAGAGCAGAAGACACAGGATATTAACAGCTACGCTCTCTAATGCAAGTTGTACAGAAACATTTCTACTTAACCCAGAGGTTCTCGACCTTTTCCACCCGAGACCCTGTTATTTTTAACATAAATTCCCTGGTGTGATAAGTCCACACCAAACAAGGTGGGTGTGAAAGCACCATGAGAAACTTCTCCATCTCTAGCTCGCTGTCTGCACTGCATGCCTGCAGCTGCGGTGCCTCAAACTGATGATGTTTATTTAGTCTACTCCTGCAGGGTTTTTATTTGTATGTGTATTTTAATGTTTATATTGGTTAAAATTCGACCGTTTGATTCTCATATTTTTAATCATTAAGTTAATCTTCTTTCCACTTATGCTTTTATGACTTAAAGTGACGTTACTGGCCCACTTCGAACTGCTGTCTCCCCCCCGAGTACATGCCCGCAGACCACTAGAGGGAGCAATATGGCCCACAGGTTGAGAAACCCTGATTTAACCTGTATGTCTGGCTTGAGCTTGAGATACAAGTTGTGTCTAGTAGATAAATAAGTATCATGCCCTCTATCTTACATAAGAATTTAGTAGGATGTTGATGAATTATGGTCAATTTAGGATCTGTAAAATAAGAGATCATTTTCTTTGTACTACCTTCATCACTCTGTCCGTCAGGCATGAGGTGAGCTATATCATCATCTGGCTGGACACTGCTTTGGACTGGAGGTCCTGTCTGCTGGATGAACTGCTGCAGGTTACACTGGCGTAGTTCCTTATTTAGCTCGTCCAGCTCTTCACTCTTAGCCTAGAAAAGGACAAAGATGGTTAACAAGCTGCTGCACAGTGCATGTGGAGAAACATTTCTTATTTTTCTGATAGTATTTGATTAACTAGAAGAAACTGAAATCAAAATGAACCTTTTATCTTGTTAGTTTGTGTCCATAATTGTATTAAGCACAACTCATCATATCAAATAAAAGACAAAAATCCTGTTTTCCTGTAATCTTTCATGAGAATGTAATGAAATATAGTGTTAACCAATAATATATTGTTTCACCTTCCACCACCCCCCACACCTCTCCTTAAATGAAAATGCTCAGCTATCTCAGAGACCTGCCTTGATCATTCTAAAATAAGGTGTGGAAGAAAAACAGGTTAATATGCGACTTTGGCTGTGCTCGAAATAGAATACCATGTACTGTATACTGTACACTGAACTCATAGTGCCATATGCATACAGCAAATATGCAAATGTTATGTTATGCTCAAAATAATCTAATACTGTCACAACCAGAACAGGTACCAGAACATTTAGTAGAGTTTTGGTAGCATTATGGTTATGCTGATAGTGACAAAATGCAACATTCAATCATTTGTTTATGTTTATTATATTATTTATATATTTAGATTTTTAATATATTTATATTTTAGATTATTTAATACATGTTTATTAATGTTTATTTAATATTTATTTGCTGCCCTGTGATGGACTGGCGACCTATCCAGGGTGTATGCTGCCTTCCGCCCAATGACAGCTGGGATAGGCTCCAGCTCCCCCCGCGACCCAGAAGGATAAGCTTAGATAATGTGTGTGTGTGTGTGTGTGTGTGTGTGTGTGTAATATTTATTTGTTTAAATAAACATAACTGAGGTAGATGGTCACTCAAAACGAAAGGATTTTAGTCAGTTAAAAGTCCAAACTATGTTTTCAACTCTGACCAA